TTGCTAGCCCCTTCTGGATTTAAAAGGCATTACGTTAGGTTATAAGTAGGTACCTTGCTTTTATCTGTAAAAAAAATAAACGAAATTTATCTCAGTGAACGATTGAGCAACAAATCGTTGGAGATGTTTTCGTTTTACTTTATTTATAATTCAAGTAATAGTCATTCCGTAGCTCGAGTATTTTATTTGTACGTGAGCTATTTTGTACGTTAGAGTGTATTTTATTTGGATCTTGACCTGATGTGTAGAGCTCGAGCGTGAGTGGTGTCTAACTACTAGGATGGGATTATATAAAAACTTAGGTTTTCAGTGCAGATGTAGGTTAAAGAAATAAGGACTCTATGGCTTTTAATTTGTTGATTGAATATATTTTTATGGGATAAGTCGGCAAACGAACAGACTGGTTACCTGATGGTAAGCTATCAGCACCGCCCACGGACACCCGCAACAAGTAGGTAAGGTATCTTCTTTTACTATTTACCTACCTACCAAAATAGAAAGAAGATATTGAAACAATCAATGTATTCACAAACTCAGCCAATTAGATGTTTAGCAAACAATGTCTGTCTATATGATATGAGTAAAGGTACTATACAATCCGAACAACTTGTAAAATGTACTAGGGAATATTCATCGCAGCGCCTGCACAAATATTGTTAGCAACGTGTGTTCATTGTGCGAGTTGCCTGCAGAAGTTTTATTAGATATAACTTCTGTGGAGACTGGATCAGTGGTATTGAAAGTTTATTATTGACAGTGTTCAGAACTCAACATATGTATGGATATGGATATCCGAGAATATTAATCCTCGCACGTTTTGTAATATAGCTGATTTCATTTACTGAATCTGTAAATTTATATTGATGAACCTTCGAACATACTTACATAAATAAGTAAAACAGTGAAGTGGTAAATTACTTATTGAGTACTGATTTTTACGCTCAACTGCTGATAGGATTATTACTAGATTAATCAATAAACACGGGAATTCCAAGTGTATCTATTAAATTTTTTATTAAAAAAAGAAACTTTTCCTCTTAGGTAGATACTAGTTTTTATCAGTGTCGTGAGTGCGTTTACAAACATAAAATTTCACATACACATCAAACCCGAAACAACTTGTAGATCACTCGGAGTATTGTTCCATGCAAGAATTATTGATCCTGCCACACCTGGCGAACACACAGTCGGATGCCCATCAGCCATTTCGCCAACCGTCAAACGTCAAAATTTTTAAAATGCCCCCGGGACACAAGAGAAAATTCAAAAACATTAGTTCTATTGAATTTTAGCATAGACACTACAGTTAAAGATTAATGGAAGCCTACCCCTTAAACAAAAAATCCTTCTTCATTTTGAGGATTGAGGGTTGGAACAAGGGGGGGCTGTAAAACATAATGTAATTGTTGCTGCCTTGATTGCATAAAAACAATTTTGTTTATACATATTTTTAGGTAGGTACTATTTTTCTTTATATCCGTCAGAGGGCAGGTCGAGGGTCACAAAGCGAGTCAGCAGGATAAAAATAATGTGCCGTTATTTTTGTGCTCGGAAAACTGTCGAGTTACAATCCTGAGTGGCAGAGATGTACCTTGTGACATTTTTATTTATGTGTGTGCCCTACGAAAATATATGTAGGAGGTGTTTTTTTTTTATTTTATTTCTATTTTCAGAATATTTTTTTCCTTTTTTATGGATGCTATATTATCTGTCTGGATTTGTGAAACGGTTGAATAGAATGGATTCTGAGCTCAATTAGAATCCGATACTCATCGAGTTTATTTCCAATAAAGATTTGAAATGTACCTATGTGAAGGTGTTGAACAACTCCTCTTGCCAAGCTGCAATTATTTACAAAATACGGATCGGTAATTAATTAAGTTAGGTAGATAAAGTCATCATAATTGTTATTAGCTACATATCTAGTTAGTCTTGTAAATATCATTCGAAATCATTTTTGCTTTCTAAAGTCGACGAATTATAACAGTTTGAAATAACAACGATCGCTTTGAATTTTTGTTTCCATTTTGATGAATGCTATGAACATTATTCGTCTGAATTTGTGATAGGTACGGTTGAATACAATGAATTCTGAGCTCGATTAAAATCGGATACTTATCGAGTTTATTTTAACTTACTCGCTACTCGGAACTTAGATCTGACATGTTCGAGGTATTGGAACATAATTTTTTGGTACCTAATTTTAAAGCGGATGGCAGTCGCCCTGTGTAAATTACCTAATAACATTCAGCCAATATACGGTATGACAACATTCAGTAAAATATTGATTAGGTAATGAAAATATTGACCAAACAAAAACCATCTATATAAATAATTAGAGTTCAATTAAGTTTTAGTACCTACCAGTATCTTTTTTGTTCAACATGTGCACGTCGTATGTGCAAAAAATGACGCTCAAGAGGTTAATGACCTTGGTACCTATAAGCTTAAAAGGATACTTAAATTCGTTGGATAGCTAACATTGATTTGGGAACTTCGCTTATTGCTGCCTCATCATCATTGTAATCGCATTAGAAAATATAAAATTTGAATTAGATTTTGAGCCCTAGCTAGCCATGCTTTTTTTAATGGCATACCTAGGTACTTAAAGGAAACTGAATTAATTCGATGTACGCTGAACATTGACATGTTGTGTTTCGCCGTGTAAGTAAGGTTACCGAAGGCCCAATCCTTCCTCTCCCCTAATTCCTCCTCAAAATCCCCCAAATCTTAATCCCCAAGGTCCGCAACGCAATTGTAACTAGCTTTGTTGGTGTTCATTGGTGGCGCTGATTGCTTACCTACTATCAGTTGAATACATTGCTTGTTTTCCGTCGTACCTATAACGTGTTGGAATAATTAAATTATAATTAATACCTATGTTTCTCATGTAACTATTAGAAGTGCCAAAAGTGGCTAGCCAACCCTCCCATTTGCCCATATTCTTCAGTTTACGCATTCAGACGATACACCTCTACTCGACTACAATAATAAATTCCACCTTTGCTATTTGATAAAGAACTTATTTCATCAACCTTTGCTGTCCGGAGTCGTTCTCTGTTCAAATATTTACGTACCTAGTAGTACATATCGACATAGAAGATGTAACTAATAACTTAGTGTGGGAGAGCCATGCTTCGGCACGAATGGGTCGGCTAGACCGGAGTGATACCACGGCCTCTCAGAAAACCGGCGTGAAACAACCACAGCGTTGTGTTTCGCCGTGTGAGTGAGGTTACCGGAGGCCCAATCCTTCCCCTTCCCAATCCCTAAATCTCCAAATCCCTAATCCATACAAGGTCGGCAACGCACTCGTAACTCCTCCGTTGCGGGTGTCCATGGGCGGCGCTGATTACTTACCATCAGGTACACCGTATGCTCGTATGATGATCTATTACATAAAAAAAAGTAAAACGAACGAAAAATTAAAGTTTTAATGTGCATGTGCTCTGATTGCTGTGAGTGGTCTACATCAGGCCAGTAGAGCCTAACTAAACTACCTACTTATTTGTGATTGTGTAGCACTAAAGTGTTCCCCGCTTTCAAGATCCCAGCTTCTGCACGAATGGCTTGCGTAAAGGTATGAAAGAGCTCGGGCTCGACCGCAGTGATACCACGGCTTTGCAGAAAACCGGCGTGAAGCATGTTGGGCTTTACTTCGGTTAGGTACCGGAAGACCAATCCGTACCCTCCCTCCATCCCCGTCCTACTCAATCCCTAAAACACCGACACCCAAGTTCTCAGGTATTACGGGTGTCCATAGGGGGCGCTGATAGCTTACCATCAAGTAATCCTAATAGAAACAACTGCACAATACATTACGTTTTAAATTTCGAAATCAGTATCTATTTATATAAACAGAAGCTAGGTGCAAGATGCTTACCGGTCTTCTTTATCAAAAAAGTGTTTATCGCCACAGATAACGGTTTTTATCTCTGGTGATAAGTTTCGTCTATGGACGGGTTGTTGGTTTAAATTGTCTATGGTATCATAATATCCTGCTTGGAGATGGATGAGAGAGCTTTTATCGAAGTTATTGTTTGTTCAATGATAATAATCTGTTATTTGGATGCTGATTTTTTAACCGAAGAATGTTTTGGTGTCGATAGACACTGTAGATAGCTGTAAATTACGGGTTCGGTAGGTAGATATTTTTTGAAAAATGAAACAAATATAGCTCAAAACTGACTATAATAAAATTGACCTAGGTATTAGAAAACGAAATTACATTTTTTTAATAATCAACTAAATCTGTATTTTCTTATGATAGGCCGCGTGACATATAATTACAATATAATATATGTAGATCACCGAATGGGAAGCAATTAATTGTCCCCGTTTATTGGGTACAGTAGCACCCACCAGTTTCAACCGTTTTGCCGGCCTTTTGGGGGTCAAAAATTTAAGGACTTGGGTAAAGAGGTTAGTGGTAACCCAACGACACACAACGAAAGCGTTGTTTTACGTCGGTTACCTGTTAAGGCTTTGTATCATTTTAGTTCCCTGGCTATTGGCAAGCTGAAAAGTGAAATACTTGTTTGTCAAATAAATCTTAATTAATACTACTTTTACATATAAACTAGAAACAAGAGATGATATATTTCTTCCGTTGGGATTCAAGATCAAAGACAAAACGAATTTGGAAAGATATTTAGTAAACTAATTGTAATTAATATCCAACTATTTTGAAGACTATATCTATGTAGGTACCGTAATGAATTATGATTATCCATGTTATTTGAATAAACGAATTAATTGATGCGCAATAAATGACAACTAAACGTGTTCGATATATTATTTTATTTATACTAGTAACAAATGTAGGCGTGCCGCATTCCAGTCACTTACATTATCACACAACAATTTATTTTGTTTTCTTAAAAATACGGTAGTTCAGTTATCAATAATTCAAATAACGTTCCGGTGTTTCCTCTAACAGACAGCTGCGTTTAATTAACAAAGCTACCAAAAGCTACGTAAAATATTAGTTTATGCAATGGCAACACTGAACGCGGCTGTGTCACAATTTGATTTGTCAAATATTGGTTTGGTAAAAATGACGAGCCACAGGATTTGTGTTCAGTAAAAAAATAAAATTAAATTAAATTGTGTGTTTATCAAAATGACTGTTTGGCGTAAACTGGAAGATGGAGAAGTTTATGCTGTTGGTGAGTACAAAAGAATATAACTTATTTATTTTTACAAAAATTGTTGTATTGGTGTCGAATAGTAGTCTTGTAGTTTACCTCCCGCAGCGCGGAGATAAATATAAACATTGTATCAGACGTGCCATGAAGCGCCTCTGCCTTTTTCAACTGTTATCCTGTTAGAAACTGTCCATTACACACTTGAATTAGGTTGCATAAATGTCATATTAGTTGATTCTGTTGTCATTGGCCACTCCCAAAGATGTAATTAAATAAGTCTATTGCTAACTTATGCATAATACTTTAATGAGCTCGGGACGCTACTGTTATGTATTTATCTGTTCCTTTTTTGAACAAATGTGACTATTGTACAGTACTACCAGGCTGCCATAGATAATTTAAATGTTGAAATTCTTTTATTTATGAAGTTTATCATGTTTCCTTATGTCACATAGATAAACTATCTCACTTGACATTGGAATGAGTAGTTGAAAGTTGTAAAAATAATAAAATTGTAAATAAACATTGCCTTAGTTATCTTTGTAATCATCAGTGATAATGAATTACTTCATTTTATAATCCTTTCTTAATTAAATATTTAATATGTATATAGTATTCTGTTCCTGCCACAGAATAGTGATAAAAAAACAATGGCTATTTGTAAACATTGAGATTTGTAACCTCGGAATTCATCACATTAAAGCCAGGTTTATTGTGATAACACCAAGCATTTTAAATGAATAATGCCTATTGCAACATATCTAACAGTCTGTTAGTATTTTTGTACCGATTTCCTAAAGGGAATGGAATGTCTCATTTTAATGTTATAACTAGATCTGATCTTTGTATTCTGTTTCTGTGTCAGGAAATTCCAGCGAAAGGCAATCTTTTTCAAAGAATAGATTAGCAACAAAGGAATTTTATCTATAATGAACAATTAATACAGTGAAAGTTTGTAGGTATAGCACAGATATAGCATACAGTCTGAACTTATACTTGCAATATATATTTTTGCCATGGTGATGGTTACTGCAGATGAAGCCACTGAGAGACGAAGTCTTAAAATAAAATTACACCTGGTTATCACATTCCTACTTGGAAATTCTTTTATGCTGAACCTTAATGCTTTGTAGCTACAATTAGGGTGCTGATAGACTTGAGCAACTTGACTTGTAATGAGCATCCTTACAAAGTGTTTTATAGATCACTCTATCAAGCATTGTGGCAAGCATTCCAATGAGTGAAGTACAGTGCTTAAACTAATTTTGAATCTTCAGAAAATTTAGTATGGTCATAAAAATTTTCATAGCAATGCTTGGGTCTATGCTAAGCTTTTTCTATTTTTGAGGGGGTATGATCACCAAATGAATTTTTATTGCCCTTGGAGAAGACGAGACGGGGTGTCAAACTCTTACTAACTAAAAACTACGCCGGGCTTGAGCCGTTATATGTTATTATGCTTATACCCAAAACCTCAGTGACTCTAGGCTAGGCTCAGCTCAATTTTCAGTAAAAAAAATTTAAAACATGGTACAGTTCTGTGTTCTCTTTAAAGTTAACGCTCAGCCCCTTAAGAATTTACTTCCTAGTGCCACGGGAAAACTAGCTTTTAATATTAAATAAGTGTAAGCCTCATTCTTATGCGCTGTAGGGACTAGAAATATGGCAATGTTTAGTCATGTATGTATGTAAATGTATTGACCACCTTCTTCAGTGATTGATTGTAAGTAGTCATATAGTCTCTAGGGTATCATTCTTCTGTTGAGTTATATAAATGGAGATATGTGCGGGATTTTTAAAGCATGTAGTTTCATTTTGTGATCCAATAATTTTAAAATTTTCTATTATGCCAGCAACAGATTTTATGTTAATGTTGTAATGAAATGAAACATATTGGGGTTCTTCTTCTTTTTTTTTTAATTTTTGCCCCACATTTGGATTTTCTCCTGTGTCGTGGGTGCGGTTACAAACATACAATTTCACATACACATCACACCCAGACCCGGAACAACAATTTGTGGATTACACAAAGAGTTGTTCCGTGCGGGAATCGAACCCGCGACACGTTGTACGGCAGCCAGTTGCCCAGCCACCGCACCAACCGTGCAGTACTGTGTTATATTTAAGGTCTATAATGAATATTAATATATATATATAGGTCTGTAAGTCGGTTGATTCTCAGTTTATTAAGTTAATTATAAACAAGGAAATAATGTAGGAAAATTAAAATGATATAATAAAATATTATGTATCTTCGTATAGTAGCAATAGTATACTTACATAGAATTATTATAGTTCTGTGTTATTTATTATTTACTACAACTTATAGTAATACACTAGATCCTCTTTATTATTATAGTAAAGAGCATAGTTTCCTGTACCAATGGTTTTTTTAGTGTATGTTTAGATATGTTTCTAAGCAATAATTGCGCTTCTTTATCTCACATTAGGCTTGATTTGTGCTATATTCATACATAGTATAGTACAGTATAGTAGTGATTTGAAGAATATTTTTTGTTGATTTGTAAATCTTATGAATTAGCTGGATACTCCATGTATTCGAAATGAAAATATTAGACTTAATATGTTCGGCCGCAGGAAAAGCTTAGATGTAGGTATATGTAACTCTATTCTGGCATTTCCATTGTCCGATAAGCCTTTCTATAAATAAATAAATAAAAAATATCTATAAGTGCTCACTGCTGAGCAAAGCCTTCTTCCCAAGCGCTTGCTTGCTCAAGGTCGATTGGCGAATTCAAACTAATAATTGGAAAAGTCCAGGTTTCCTCACGATGTTTTCCTTCGCCCTATGGCAGTGGTGTCTAAATAATCACAGAAAATACATATAACTCGGCAAAAGAGACATAAGCGCTTGCCGGGTTTTGAACCCTCCTAAGATGCGGACCACCACGACTGCCGTTACGGTTCTATTTGCCATTCTTATAACTTATTGGATAAGTCATAGATCTCTGGGTTTAGCCAAAATCAACCAACCTATAAATTTTGGGAACAACAGCAGTACACAAGAACTTACTTAAAATAAATTGTATTGGAAAATCTATTATTCATAGCTTAGTAAGACATAACGAGCTCTCAGTTTCTGTTTACAAATAAACATTCCACCATTAATAGTCTCATATTCACCGCCAAAACATAAGCAAATATGTACCATAACTCATAATGTTTACTGATGTTATTGCATTGCTATTTAAGTTGTCGTTTAAGACATTTTGCTTTGGTTCTATCAGGTATTAGGTCGAAATATTTACTTACGTAATTAGAACCAGTTTGTTGTTGACCTTTTGGAGGTAAACACGGTTGTTCTTAATGTTTTGCCGTCAATGGGTCTCATTGTATTGGTTCCCCAGTCATTTGGATTAACCCTTACCTGACCTTAGAACAGTAAGAAAAACGGGTGTTGTAATGACCTGGATATTTTTGTCTCATAAAAGGACTGGTTTTCAATGGTTAGATAAAAGTTACCTGGGGAATAATTATGATGTTGTAGCGTCAGAATGTTTGTATAAGACAGTGACAGCAACAATTTTATTCCTCAGATAACATTTATCGGACTAATTAAAATAAACTTTAAGAAATGAGACAAACTTCGATAAAAAGCGAAAAACCGTCTAAGCGTTGCGAATTTAAGCGTAACCGTCTTAATTTGTCTTTCTTAATTCATAATGCTATTTTCTATAAATTTTTAATTCTATTTATTAATGCTTAATTCTATTTTCTCCTATTCTCTGTATGTCGGTGAGTGTCATTTGTTTTTCGATATTTGGCTCTTTTTTTTGCTTGGTTACCCCAAGCGTCATCATCAACTACCCAGGGTGAGGCGAGAAGGTCAGGAGAGTGAAGGTGAAGGAGAAGGAGAGTGTCAGACTCTTATTAATAGACTATCGCCCCGTTCCTTCTCCTGCTTTATACCGAGACCGCGGTGCCTTATTGCGCTTATCCAACAACCCCTGCTGTGGACTCTTGGAGTCTACAGCTCTAGACCCCCAGTTAGGTCTTGCCAAAAATACTTTAATTTTATTGCGTGGTGCTTCCTGCATCTGCAGATATGTCCATTGTTCCAATCTGGCGAAAATAATAAAATACCTAGTAAGTAGGTGATATGATATCGTCGAAATATCTTTTATGAAAACGAAGGCCAGTCCTGGAAAGTGGGACGAAGTCGGGGCGAGTCGTTAGTGACCTATAACTTGCAATTAACACGATACCAATAAAGATAGTTGAGACTTCGACTAATCTTCACATTCAATCGTCACAGTTCGTCCTGATAGCCCGGGTCATTCGGTACAATTTAAATCTATTTCAGTATCGTAAATAATAAGGAACCGTGTTATTTGGTGACCCAAATGACGTATTTCGAAGGGGGATATTGAAGAAAAGATGGCTGAGTTCTATAAAGGATGATATTGAGCAGAGTAAGTTATGATGCGGGTAGTTTTTTTATTGGGTTGAATCAACTTGATTCTCAACTGTAGTCCGAACTATCACATCTAGATATATTAGTACAAATTAGAGGTAAGGGTTTCGCTATGATTCTCTTCAATGTCATGATCAAATATTCGTTCATTGTATTGAAAACTAGCGATCTGCCCCGGCTTCGCACGGGTGCAATGCTGATACCAAATTTCTCCACTATTTAATGGATGTTATAGGTCCATCGTCAGTCCATTATCTTCAATCACTCTATTTCATCAAAATCCGTTGCGTATTTTCAAACATTTCAGCATACATAGGAATATAGGAACCGGGAGAGTGAGTTTTATTTTATACTGTGTACTCGTGATATTTCATTTTCTGTTTTAATAAGTAAAATTAAATAAATAATGTTAAAAATTAAGTTACTTTGTCAAATTTCGACATTCGAATGTACTTAATAGGTATTATTATTATCATCTATGTTATATATTTATTTCAATGATTTTGCAATATATCATTAATACCCAATGTAAGTAATGAAAGCAATATAATACAATTGACGTAGTTATAGCTTTCAAGCATATTTT